AACGCGGCCGGGGCACCGGCGAGTCGTGCCTCGCGAAGTGGGGACCTGGCCGTGGCGTCTGGCACGACCACCGCCAGATCTCCGACGCAGCGGAGGAGCACCGGTCGAGCTCGTGCACGGACGGCTCGCGGGAAGGTGCGAGATTGGAGGAGCCGACCGATCCGAAGCCAGAGCTCTGGCTGGACGAGCGCGAGAGCGTCGGCAGCGTGGCGGTCATCATACCCTCCTGCCAGTAACCGCCCGCTACCCACGAGGTTTGCGTCACCGATCTGAGCTTCGGTGGCGATAAAATGCATCTATGTTTGCTGCCGGATTTCCTGAACAGATTCTCGGAACTCGTCGCGCTGTACACCCTTCGCTCGAAAATCGCCGGCGCCGTTTTCGTGATCCTGTCGTATTTTGGAGAGTCCTCGTTCAGGAGAAGGGAGCTCAGGCTGTCGTTCAAGCAGCTATCCGGTGGACTGTCGTTCTGAGAGACGGAGTTTATGTGACCATTGGTACCGTTGTTTGTGATTGTAGACAGCTTCTGTCTCAATCTAGAGAGATAAATAGGTAAATAGACAAATAATAAAACACGATTGTCACAAATTCCTCATCCTAAAATCCTATAACTTTTCCCTAATTTCTAGACAAAATTTCATGACTTTCTCTGACTTTTAATATTTCAAAATTTTTTGTATTTTCGTTTTAATTTAGAAACTGTTAATAATTATGTTGAAAACATATTTTGATATAGCAATATAAATTACTATGAATATTGTTGACATTGCTTGTATTGAACTTCTCCAAAAAATTTTATTTTCCAGAAAATTTTGCAAAATTCCCTGACTTTTCTCTGATTTCCAGTTTTGTGGCAATTTCATAGAAACGTTTACGAATTATGAAAAGCAGAAGTGATGTAAGATACTTGCATTGCTGAATGCGACTTGCTGAATTTGATTTCAGTGGAAGATAATTCGCTCGCCGCATAGACTGACGATTTAATACAGCCATTCGTTTTGCTTGGAACAGTATTGTTTCTGTTTTGACTATTATATTCGAGCTGAGGCGAAACAACATCTTGTGAGCGCAACTTGATCTTTTTGAACATTACCGAACCGGTCGAAGTATTTTTATACAAGCTGGATCTAAGGCTCATCAATGCTGTAATAAATGCGCAAACCGCTACCTAGAAAGAAACAAACGGATAAACTGAATATGCAAATATATTCAAAATAATAACAATAGTAAGAGAAGCAAAAAAGAATTAAACGCGAAAATTGATGAATAAATTAATATAAATACAATATAATACACTAACAATAATATAATAAAAAATACAGTTTAAAAGAACGGAAAAAATTACATTACAGATTTCAATTCGTTTTTGAGCCATTTTCAGAAAATCACGTTACGAAGCAGAATGCAGAGAATGAAAAACGTCGTACATCTATGGCAGGTCATAATCAAATTCGAAATAAAGGAATGTATCGAAATAATAATATTATACAATAAATTAAAATTAAGTAAAAAGGCTCAATAAATTAAGTAATATAACAAAGGGTTACGAGTCTAAAACAAACCTTGTTTTAGACTCGTAGCCGGTCTTTGTTATATTAAATGATACAATAATTTCCCATTTATTGAGCTCCCTTATAAAAATTTAATATTGGCCAATTAATCACTTACTTTCAGTATTAAAAGTACTGTTAGCAATATTTTTAATTTTTAAAATAAGAGTAATTGGCCAGTACTAATATTAAATTTCTATAAGGACTTACCATGCGGTACTGCACGATGTATTCTGTTGTAAGCCAGGCATTTTGAAGAGTCGTCGAATCCTTTATGGACACGAGAGTAATGATGCAGGACCATAAAAATATCAATAATATATCAGAACTTTTTTTTCTCATCGAGCTCGACCAACAAGCGCACAAGTGAAAAAACAGCCCACCGATTGGCAGCCAAATGAAGTCGTGGTTGTACATGATCATCGAGACCAGAATCGTTGAGATAACTCGGAATACTGATTCCGACTTTCTTGCGTTCTGCAATAGTACTAACTAATGATTATTTGTTATAATGTTGCTGCAACTGCAAGTCGATGGAGACGTTAATGAAAACGTTAAGAGATATTTGCCATAACGTAATAAACATTTGGGACATCGAATATTAATCTTTAATGAGCCATTCTTTGCTTATTAGTATTTTAAGATTATTTAATAATTAGCATTAATACTAATTAGCATCATTATTAAATTGATGATTAATATAATTTTTTATGTATCTCCAGCTCCAGTTTATGACTGCATTTCAAGTCCAACAAATCGAATCAGCGCACAATTTATAGAACTAAAAAATGTACTTGTAAATTTACATAAGAAGTATTAATCACCAAGACCCACTTCGTCTGAAAATAGGGTTTTTTCTCTTATTCTACTTATAATGACAATCTTTTCTGCAAATGTACTTACACTGATAAGCGTCTTAAACGGTTTCCGCCTGAAGAACAGCATCTTATAACGAGTTAGCCATACCGCCTGCCTGTGCAGCACATCTCTCACTGTTGATTTGCAGCTGTCGCACAACGGATACCTCGCTTCTAGATATTCCTTAAATGTTTTCAGCTCGATGTTAAAGAGCTTCTCACTCTTGGGTTCAAAATTGGCCAGTTCTGATAGCTTCAGACTTTCCCGCTTGTTACAGCATGCACAGAGACTATCTTTGAGGACATGACGGCTGTCACTGTCCTCAGACAGTCTACAATATCTCATACGTCCTTTTGGTATTACATACTGCTCCGGAATATCATATGCATAATCGCCATTCTGGAACAAGCATTTTACATTCATCATTATGGACATTAAAAAATAAAAGAAATTGTCTTCCAGCAAACAGACAGCTAAACATGGATACTACAGGCCTATACTTTTTAGCTGAACTTCTTGCATGTTGAAGAGAAAAAGAGAAAAAATAAAGTTTTAGTTGTCTTATTGATATTAAAGACGTCATTAAGCCATCATTTGGCTTTGCTACTTGGAGTCAATCTGTCTTTGTTTCTGACTGAATGTCAAATAAAGACAAAATGACTTCTGTGTCGAAATGTGTTTTCCGCAGGAAAATATAATTTACCTTGGAAAAGCCATTGTACTGTTCACACCAAGGACACAACCACCAGTTCAGGTGCTGTCTCCAGACCTTTGTGTTCTCGTTGCAAAACCAACAATTCACCTTCACAGGCCATCTTGCCCTGAAAGATGCGTAATCACAATGAATTAGGTACACTCTCAAAAATGAAGAGTGGATCGAAAGCAATAAAAGTGGGAGTAATAAAACATACAGAAATTGACCAAAAAGTATTAGATATCTTATTAACTTTTATGTAATGTTTTAGTTCAAAAATTGATTTATGACATTCACCGTGGAATATTCTTTATTAAAAGAATCATTTAAACTTATGTTATATATCGGTAATTAATAGGAAACAATACAGGTAAAAGAATTTCAAATTAATAAAAAATACAAGTGCCTAATATTTTAAGCCACAGCTGTATATGAAATATATGCCGGTATTGGTGGTATATGCAAGTGACTTACCTGAGCCTGTAGAACATCGTCAAGAACATAGCGAGTATTAAAAGAACCGGAGCGAACATAACCGCGAAATCAAACGCCGCGTTGCGATCGGTCTCCATGTCGTGGTAGGAAAAGAAATAAAAAGCGCGTTAAAAAAACGGCGCTTAAGAATGCGCCGCGTAAACGGGAAGACGATTTCCTAAAGTCTACGGAGTAGAGACGTCGGCTGCGCACCGCATCTCCCGGCAGTCCCGCCAAGCGATCGAGGGGTAGGATACGTCATAACCTGAAAGACCTGTCGTTCAGGATTGTTAATGAGGAATAATAAAAAGGTTTGAGCATGCCGTTGCTGTTGACGTCGACGCGATGAGGAATCCTCACGAGAAGGCTTACCTATAATCGTTCAGTTTATTCCCCTTCGACAAATCCACACGATGCTTGGCCCCCCGCTGTCACGATACGGGAACATGCGACACGTGCCGAGACTCCGGTAGATACCCGCGCTAGAGACACTATAATAAGAGACTGGTGTAGATGGGATAATTTTTGATTGGCTGGATATGGAATGG